GGGAGGAATAGTGTCCCATCATTGGTGTCAGTGGAGGAATAGTGCCCCATCATTGATAACAGTGTAAGGAATAGTGCCCCATCATTGGTGTCAGTGGGAGGAATAGTGCCCCATCATTGGTATCAGTGGGAGGAATCGTGCCCTATCATTGGTATCAGTGGGAGGAATAGTGCCCCATCATTGGTATCAGTGGGAGGACTAGTGCCCCATCATTGGTATCAGTGGGAGGACTAGTGCCCCATCATTGGTGTCAGTGGGAGGACTAGTGCCCCATCATTGGTGTCAGTGGGAGGACTAGTGCCCCATCATTGGTATCAGTGGTAGGAATAGTGCCCCATCATTGGTTTCAGTGGGATGACTAGTGCCCCATCATTGGTGTCAGTGGGAGGACTAGTGCCCCATCATTGGTATCAGTGGTAGGAATAGTGCCCCATCATTGGTGTCAGTAGGAGGAATAGTGCCCCATCATTGGTGTCAGTGGGAGGAATAGTGCCCCATCATTGGTGTCAGTGGTAGGAATAGTGCCCCATCATTGGTGTCAGTGGGAGGAATAGTGCCCCATCATTGGTGTCAGTGGTAGGAATAGTGCCCCCATCATTGGTGTCAGTGGTAGGAATAGTGCCCCATCATTGGTATCAGTGGGAGGAATAGTGCCCCATCATTGATGTTAATGGATGGAGCCCCAAGGGCTGGATTAAGGCAAGCAAAGGGCCACATCCAGCCTGCGGGCCTCAGTTTGGAGACCACTGCTCCAAGGTGGGGGAGCTCTGCTGACTTCTATCATCCAATCATATCCAAGCTAAAATGTTTTTTCAATTTTCCTTCCATGGCTTTTGGTAGGCATTGTAAAGTGAAGCTTTCCCTCATTTACTAAGCTCTTGCGCAGCTGCAGAGTTGTTTTGCCTTTAGTAAATCAAACCCAGAGGATCTACCAAACCCCATGACACTTCTCACCTCAGAGTTCGAAATCCTCCTCTCCCTCCTCCTGCTTCAGCAGATGATTCCTCAAATAGCCGAATATACCAGCCCAGGGCGTTATGTGATATACAATATACAAGACCTCCCCCATCAAAACCAGGAAGAAGACGGCCAGCAGGAACAAGAAAACTCGATCTGCCAGGTGGACGATCTTCATCTTGGTGCTGCGCTGCTCCCACGGGATAGACTCTGGAGAGGGTGTCACCCTCGCTAGGATCTCAAAAGGATCTTCTACATCAACATCATCGTCGTCGTCATCATCATCATCATCGGCTGGGGGGGGGAGTCGGCAGAAGGGGTGCGGAGGGGTCCTCTGTGTCACTGCTGTTGGCGTCCATCACAAGACGCAGATGGGGACACGTCTGCAGGGAAGGACAGGGCAAAAATGGGGTTGTAATGACCTGTTATCCCCGAGGAGGGGCATCAATCCAGGTAACCAAAATGTTAGGAGCAACTATGGAAAGTCCAAAAAGAAGACATGAGGAAGATGGAGAAAAAAAAAAAAGCGATTCAACACCAGTAGGTTCGATTTTGCGATGAGGCGTAAATAAAAGATCCCAGGAGGGCCGAGTAATACGGTTCTGTCACCGGAGTTACTTTACATAATCTGAGGATAAAACACAGACACAGTCAGCAAGACGAGGATTAGAGGATCACCGGCCATATGGCACCTTGCGTCTGCCAATGCACCCCCCACACCTCACTGAATTCGGCACATTTTCATCGGGAAATAGGAAAAATACTGAAAACTGTTTAGGAAATATTTATCTCTAATTTTTATCTGAAATATTTTTTATCTGTCATTTTGTAGTTTTATTTAACCATTTGCCCTCCACAGAATTTACCCCCCTTCCTTTCCAGGCCATTTTGTGTGCTACGGCCAGGGGCAGACTGACATTCGAGCACTCAGACACTGCCCAAGGGCCCACGGTCAGTAGGGGGCCCCATGAAATGACCCTGGTACCTTTTATAGGCTTTTTTGGGTGTGCTTTGAGTGTGGGCAAGGGGCCCCAGGAGTTGTCAGTCCACTCCTGGATACGGCGCTACGTTATTGTAACTGACAATTGCGTGGTCATTCAACGCTGCGCCCAAATGAATTTTACATCCTATATTTCCCACAAATAAAGCTTCTCTTTGGTGTGATATTTGATTGCGATTTTTATTTTTTTGTGCTATAAACAAAAAAAAGACAGCAGAGGCGATCAAATACCACCAAAAGAAGGCTTTATTTGTGGGAAAAAAAGGACATAAAATTCATTTGGGCGCAGCGTTGCATGACCATGCAATTGTCAGTTAAAGTAACAGCGCAAAAAATGGCCTGGTCCGGAAATATATTTTTTACTTTTTGCAATAAAACATGTCTAGTAAGAAAATGTAAAGAAAATCAAATTTCGTCATAAATGTAGGCCAAAATGTATTCTACTACATAAAAAAAAAATCCCAATACGTGTAAATTAATTGGTTTACGTGAAAGTTATAGCGTTTACAAATGGCGGAATAGATACTGGAATTTTTAATTATTACTAGTAATGGCAGCGATCAACGACTTATAGCGGGCCTGTGGCGGGCATTCTGACACTAGGGGGGGGAAACTGACTTGGTGTCACCGACATCCCCAGTGACACCAATACAGAGATAAGTGCTAATAAAAAGCACTGACACTGTACTAATGACACTGGCGGTATACAGGTGAAACTCGAAAACTTAGAATATGGTGCAAAAGTTCATTTATTTCAGTAATGCAACTTAAAAGGTGAAAACTAATATATGAGACTCATTACATGCAAAGCAAGATAGTTCAAGCTGTGATTTGTCATCATTGTGATAATTATAGCTTACAGCTCGTGAAAACCCCAAATCCACAATCTCAGAAAATGAGAATATTACATGCAATCAATAAAACAAGGATTGTACATAGAACAATATCGGACCTCTGAAAAGTAGAAGCATGCATATGTACTCAGTACTTGGTTTGGGCCCCTTTTGCAGCAATTACTGCCTCGATGCGGCGTGGCATGGAAGCTATCAGCCTGTGGCACTGCTGAGGTGTTATGGAAGACCAGGATGCTTCAATAGCGGCCTTCAGCTCTTCTGCATTGTTTCGGTCTCATGTCTCTCATCTTTCTCTTGGCAATGCCCCATAGATTCTCTATGGGGTTCAGGTCAGGAGAGTTTGCTGGCCAATCAAGCACAGTAATCCCACGGTCATTGAACCAGGTTTTGGTGCTTTTGGCAGTGTAGGCAGGTGCCAAGTCCTGCTGGAAAATGAAGTCAGCATCCCCATAATGCTCGTCTGCGGAAGGAAGCATGAAGTGCTCCAAAATCTCCTGGTAGACGGCTGCGTTGACCCTGGACTTAATGAAGTACAGTGGACCAACACCAGCAGATGACATGGCTCTCCAAATCAACACAGACTGTGGAAACTTCAGATTGGACTTCAAGCATCTTGCAGTGTGTGCCTCTCCATTCTTCCTCCATACTCGGGGTCCTTGGGCCTCTCCATTCTTCCTCCATACTCGGGGTCCTTGGGCCTCTCCATTCTTCCTCCATACTCGGGGTCCTTGGGCCTCTCCATTCTTCCTCCATACTCGGGGTCCTTGGTTTCCAAATGAGATGCAAAAGTTGCTCTCATCAGAAAAGAGGACTTTGGACCACTGAGCAACAGACCGGGTCGGTTTTTCTTTAGCCCAGGTAAGACGCTTCTGACGTTGTTTGTTGTACAGGAGAGGCTTGACAAGAGGAATATGACATTTGAAGCCCTTGTCCAGGATCCGTCTGTGTGTGGTGGCTCTTGATGCACTGACTCCAGCCTCAGTCCACTCCTTGTGAAAGTCCCCAACACATTTGAATGGCCTTTTCCTGACAATCCTCTCCAGGCTGCGGTCATCCCTGCTGCTTGTGCACCTTTTTCTTCCACACTTTTCCCTTCTACATAACTTTCTATTAATGTGCTTTGATACAGCACTTTGGGAACATCCAACTTCTTTTACAATTACCTTTTGAGGCTTTCCCTCCTTATGGAGGGTGTCAATGATGGTTTTCTGCACAACTGTCAGGTCAGCAGTCTTTCCCATGATTGTGATTCCTACTGAACCAGACTGAGAGACCATTTAAAGTCTCAGGAACCCTTTGCAGGTGTTATGGCTTAATTAGCTGATTACAGTGGGACACTTTGAGTTGAGAATATTGCACCTTTTCACAATATTCTCATTTTCTGAGATTGTGGATTTGGGGTTTTCATGAGCTGTAAACCATAATCATCACAATGATGACAAATCACGGCTTGAACTATCTTGCTTTGCATGTAATGAGTCTATCTCATATATTAGTTTCACCTTTTAAGTTGCATTACTGAAATAAATGAACTTTTGCACGATATTCTAATTTTTTGAGTTTCACCTGTAGATACTGGAATTTTTTTTTCATAGCAGTAATGGCGGCGATCAGCGACTTATAGCAGGACTACAGGGAGCATTCTGACACTGGGGGGAACTGTCACTGACATCCCCAGTGACACCAATACAGTGATCAGTGCTAATAAAAAAGCACTGACACTGGGCAGGAAGGGGTTAACATCTGGGGCAATCAAAGGGTTAACTGTGTGCTGTTTTACTCTCGTTATGTGTGTTTTACTAGGGAGGCATGCTGTGCTGAACAATACAAAAGCAGCATGTCCTTGCAGACAGGAGAGAAACCTGTGTTGTTTACACACAGGTCTCTACCCTGTCAGCTTTCACCAACCATCGCCGTGTGACGGCGGGGAATCTCCAGCTGGGACCCAGTGATTGACATCCCTAGCCGCCAATGTGGTAAAAGGCCAATCACAGCAGCTTTTTACCACGTGATCAGCCGTGTCCAATGACACGCTGATCACAGGGAAATGCAATTGCCTGTTCTCGGCTGCACTTTCCTCATGCTGTCAGAACATGGGGAAAGTACTGCCGAGAACCAGCAGTTTTCAGAGCAGGGATCGGTACCGATCCTCAGGGCACTGATGATCGGTGCCCAGCAGTGACACCCACCAGTGTCACTCACCTGTGCCCACCAGTGCCGCCCAGTAGTGCCCATCAGTGCCGCCAGTCAGTGCTATCAGTACCCATCATCAGTGCCGCCTATCCGTGCCACCTCATTAGTGCTGCCTATCAGTGCAGCCTCATCAATGCACATCAGTGAAGGAGAGAAAAGTTACCGGTTTGCAAAATTTTATAATAGAAACAAAGAAACTTTTTTTTTTTCTAAATTTTTGCTCTTTTTTTGTTTATAGCGCAAAAAGCACCAGCGGGAAGTAAATACCACCAAAAGAAATCTCTATTTCTGAGAAAAAAGGATAAAAAATTTCATATGGGTATAATGTTGCATGACCATGCAATTGTCATTCAAAGTGCGACAGCGCTGAAAGCTGAAAATTGGCCTGGTAAGGAAGGGGGTATAAGAGCCCGGTAGGCAAATGGTTAAATAAAATTATATATATAAATAAAATTAATAAACCCCTAACCAAAAAAATTAAATAATGAGACCCCTAACCTGTAAACATATCTGACCCGAACAGAAAAATAAATAAATGTATTAAAAAAAAAAAAAAAAAATTGAACAACATTAATAAATCAACCCATAACCCCCACCTCTAACCCTAACCAAAAATAAAAACAAAATTAAATAAATGTATTATTTATTAAATAAAATTAATCCCCTAACCAAAAAAAATAAATAAATGTATAATGTTTACTAAATAAAAAATAAATTAACCCCTAACCAACTTTTAACCCTAACAAAAAAAAAAAAATTATAAATACATTATTTTAATAAATAATAATAATAAATAAATGCCTAACTCTGACCCTAACCTCTAACCCTAGCGAAAAACAAAAAAATTAAAAAAATAATAGCAATAATAATAATAATAAATAAATGAATCCCCAACTCCATCCCCTAACTCTAACCCTTACAAAATATAAAAAACAACCATCCTGTAGAGTCCAAATAAGTCTTTAGAAGATCAAGCAATTGTTGTGTGTTATACACCCACGTTCTAAAATAACTTGTGCTCCACTCCATCTTGTCCAAAGAAAAACCGCACTCACCAGAAAATTTTGAATTCTTGCAAAAAAAAAAAAAAAAAAACAAGAACGTCAGATTGCACCTGCTGGTATAATCATACACCACGGGTCCGCTGGAGAACAGGAACACCACTCAATGAAGGGAGGATATCCAGGAATGTTGCCACCAACGTTGCCCCCACCAGTCCCACCTTGCCTCAGCTGGGTCCTCTTAGGTACTCTGGTTACCCATTAGAGGGTATTAGGAAAGTAAGGAGAAGCCTCCCATAGCGTAAAAACATTTTATTGAACTCACAGGTAACTAAAATTACACTTACAACACTTTAGAACAATCTCTGTATCATCAGGAAGTGCCACTGGCTCACCCAGCATGCCTTCTAGTGAAGCGGAACTGACGAACTGGAAGTCCTTCCCTACGCGTTTCGTCATAAAAGTGTGATGTCCCGACAGCAGGGTTAGGCTCCGACAACTGTCACTTTGTTGAGAATGCTGCGGTGGCCAATAATAACAACTCTCATTGGTTAGATGACTGGCTCAGTCCTGATGTTAGACTGCAATGTAATACTAGATTCACAGAAGTACACAGAGGAGAGTCCTTAGGCCAACAAAAGGTAATAGCTGGCATCTTGCTGTGTCTTCTTTTATGTTTTACTGCTTTTTAAAGCTGAACTTTGGGAATATGAAAAAAAAAACCCAAACTTAGCAGTGCGGCTCCCCCAGCAGTGCCTGAAAGAAATGCTTGTTTATGGTCTACGGTACCAGTATAAAGCACTTTTACTTATCCTATCCCTTGCTCCCCTGGCAGCCTTCTGACTTGTGGGTGGGGCCCTCAATTTGTGGGCGGGACTGATGTTCCTGCATTGTACATGAAGACCTCACAGCTGTGTCTCTAAGCAGGAACACCAAAGAGAATAGACTGGAGGTCCTGTCGGATAGAATGAGGAGCCTGTAGAAGGACGTAGGATATAGTCGATTCAAAATCCGAACGTTCTGTCGACCGAAAAAACTAAAATAGCTCATACGATTTCGCTAGCAATCATTTCATTTTTCTAATAAAAATTCATCATGTTGGATCAGGCACTTTCAATTGCGGCATAAAACATCGCGTGTCGCAGCTGGCATACTAGTGATTCGAGAAACTAACGATTTGAAATTTTCGTTCAGTTTTCGCAACTATGTCTCTGGCCTGCTTAAAGGATAAAAGTATTTATTCCACTTCCCCAGAGTTTGAAGCTGAACTCTGGACTAAACAAATATGTTACAAACAAATGGAATGTGCATTCTTCCTTGACTCCTTATGCAGGCCATACACGGTTCGAATTCCAAATGATTTTTCATCTGAAAATCGAAAACATCATTCGCTCGGTAATCCGATGGTGCCATCAATGATTTTGAAAATCAGCCGACCGAGTCATAAAGTTCACCCCATATAACAGGCGAAACTTCTGTTACTTCCAGGTCACGGCTCATGCGCATATTCTTTTCGGAAAAACGATCGTACGATTTGACCATCATCGAGTTGAAAAGCGGTAGTTTTTCATGAATTTTCCAACATGCCCGATCACCGAAAAGGGGAGGAAACACGAAAATCGTCCGGTGCCATTGACCCACTAACAGAGCAAAAATTGGCCGATTATTCTTGGGTCCGATTTTCAGATGAAAAATCAGTCGTATTTCAACCCATGTATGGCCGCCTTAGTGTATCTTTCCCTGGTGTGCAGTAATCCAGCAGGAAACAATTTCAGCACTTTATCACTGTGCAGGAGCTTCCTGTGATGAAGACCGGTCACTGCTGCTCTCTCCCCTTACGACTGGTCTTGTATCTGCCACCCTAGTAGCTTTCTGCTGGGTCGCTCTCAGCTCTGTTCTCTGCCCTGACTATGACCAGCACAGTGCTGATGCAGTTTTAAAAAGTTTCCTGTGTGAGTCCAGTGCAGAGCGGTGCGATTTGTATCTAAATAGACGTGAGTGAAAATCACATACAGATCGTTCATCTGTCCTAAAATAACATGATTCCAGTGCTTGCTTTGTTCCTTATCTCCCATTCCTGGTCCATGTCAAGGGGGGGGGAAGAGAGAGAGGGGGAGAGAGAGAGATAGGGGGGGGGGGGGAGGAGAGAGAGGGAGAGAGAGGGAAGGAGGAGGAGAGAGGAAGGGGGGGAGAGGGGAGGAGAGGGGAGAGGAGGAGGGAGGAGAGGGGAGAGGAGAGAGGGGGGGGGAGGAGAGAGGGGGGGGAGAGGAGAGAGAGGAGGGGGGGGGGAGAGGAGAGAGAGGGGGGGGGGGAGGGAGAGAGAGAGGGGGGGGGAGAGGAGAGAGGGGGGGGGGAGAGAGGGGAGGAGAGGGGGGGAGAGAGAGAGAGAGAGGGGGGAGAGAGAGAGAGGGGGGGGGAGAGAGAGGAGAGGGGGGGGGGGAGGAGAGGGGGGGGAGGGAGAGGAGAGGAGGGGGGAGAGAGGAGAGAGGGGGGGGGAGGGGGGAGAGAGAGGGGGGGGGGAGGAGAGGAGGGAGAGGGAGAGAGGGGGGAGAGGAGAGAGGGGGTGAGAGAGGGGGGAGAAGAGAGAGGGGGAGAGAGAGGGGGGAGAGAGAGAGGAGGAGGGGGGGAGAGAGGGGGGAGAGAGGGGGGAGAGGAGAGAGAGAGGGGGGAGAGGGAGAGAGAGGGGAGAGGAGAGAGAGGGGGGGGAGAGGGGGGAGAGCGAGAGAGAGGGGGGGAGGGGTGAGAGGGGGGAGAGAGAGGAGAGAGAGGGGGAGAGGGGGGAGAGAGAGGGGCGGAGAGGGAGAGAGAGGAGAGGAGGAGGGGGGAGAGAGAGGGGGAGAGAGAGGGGGGAGAGGGGGGAGAGAGAGAGAGGGGGAGAGGAGAGAGGGGGAGAGAGGGGGAGGAGGGGGGAGAGAGGGGAGGGGGAGAGAGAGGGGAGAGGGGGGAGGGAGGGGAGAGAGAGAGGGGGAGAGAGAGAGGGGGGGAGAGAGGGGGGGAGAGAGAGAGGGGGGAGAGAGAGAGGGGAGAGAGAGGGGAGAGAGGGGGGGAGAGAGAGGGGAGAGAGAGAGGAGGGGGAGAGAGGAGGGGAGAGGGGGAGAGAGAGGGGGAGAGAGAGATTGACAGTATCCGAATCGCACCAAAAATGCATTAGAATTTCTTCTGAACTGCAATAACTCGCAGTGTGGCCGCTCCTTGAAATCGCACTGCAAAACAGATTTAACTCGTACTGCATCGGTGTGAACCTAGGCTAAATGAACATTTTTGTGCCTGGAGTTTATCCTTAAAACTGTGGACAAATTCATGAACCAGGACTGTGAATGGCCACTACGTGCTGCTCATGAACTGCAATAATGAAAGAAAAAAAAAAAAAAAAAAAACATTGAGAGAAGCCTGTAGGCTTCCACTTTACGTCTCCTAGACATACATTTGGCAGGGAATGCTTAAAGTACAGCGGGCATATAAAATAAATCACCCACCTTTAAAATAATCACACTTTTTTTGTGTTTCAGTCTGAAATGAAGACAGGCACGGTTTTTGTTTTATCCAGCTGTAGTTACCCAGTGCATCTTATGACATCTGAATGAAAGATATAACACCAACATGTCAGAAAAAAACCCCAAAAAATTCAAAACCAGAATCCCTGAGTTGGAAAAAAAAAAAATGAATAAAAAAAGGATCACCCCCTCCTAAAAGTGACTCAATCAGTTGTAGGTAACCACCTTCTCAAATGGCACACAAAGCTATTTGACTGTCATCTGTTGTCATTCTGATTAGTTTAGCATGAAAAGAGCTTTCCTGCAGCATTTCAGTCCCTAATAGTGCAACTGAAGCAAACAATTAACTATGGGTGGCAAGGCACGGTGTCAAATGATCTGTGGGATAAAATTGTGGACAGGCACAAGTCAGGTGATGGATACAAAAAAATTCAAAGGCTTTATTAATGCCTAGAAGCACAATGAAGTGGAAGGGATTTTGTACAACACAGACCCTCCCTGGATCAGGACATCGCTCCAAACTGGAGGAAAACTGGTCAGAGAGGCTGTCAAGAGGCCTACAGCAACTCTGAAGCAGTTGTAGGAATTGATGGCAAAGAACGATCGTTGTATGCATGCGACAACAATATCACAAATCCTCCACAAATGGGGCTTGTACGGGAGGGTGGCAAGAAAAAAGCCGCTCCTCAAGAAAGGCCACACACAGTCACCACTGAGCTTTGCCAAAACACACCTTGAAGATTCTGAGGCCGCATGGAAAAAGGTGTTCTGGTCAGATGGGACTAAAATGGGATGACTTGGCCTCAACAGTAAATGATATGTCTGGTGGAAATCCAGTCCAGCTCACCATCCAAATCCCACCATTCCTACAGTAAAGCATGGAGGGGGGAATATCCTGGTATGGGGGGATTCTCTGCAGCAGGGACTGGAGCACTTGTCAGGATAGAAGGAGAAATGGACGGGGCAAAATACTGTCAAATTCTGGAGGAAAATCTACTGCCCTCTGCCAGGAAGTTGTCAATGGGAAGAAGGTTTACGTTCCAATGTGACGATGACCAAAAGCACACAGAAACAATGAGCCCAGAGAGGTTGGGGGAGAAGAAGGTGAATGTCCTTGCATGGTCTAGTCAGAGCTCAGACTTCAAGTCATTCCACAGATTTTCAATGGGGTTGAAGACTGAAGTCCACAAATGGTCACCATCAAATGTAACTGAACTTCAGCCGTTCTGCAAAGAAGAGTGGACAGATATTGCAAAGTCTAGATGTGCAAAGTTAGTGGAGACAAATCCCAACAGAATAAAGGCTGGAATTAGAGAAAAAGGTGGTCCAACTAAATACGGACACGGGGGGATCCTTTTTCCAACTCAGTGATTCTGTTTTGTATTTTTAATTTTTTTCTGTCATGTTGGTGTTATATCTGTCACTTGGATGTTATAAGTTGCACTGAGTAAAGACAGCTGGATAAAACAAAAACTGTATCTGTCTTCATTTCAGGCTGAAAAAGCAACAAAATGTGATTTTAAAGGGGGTGATTCTTTATATACCCACTGTATATCTTACGTGTAAGACAAAAACACTTTGGGTAGAGGGAAGGGTTAGAACCAACAACTTTTTTTTTGGTATCTGCATCTTCTGAGGGAGATTTCCTTTCACTTCCTGTCCTATATACTCAGCAGGAAGTGAGAGGATATCATTCCAATGTTTCCACAGGAAGACTTTCCCTCTATTCCTGTTCTGGTAGCAACTCAGCGTTTTGGACTTCCCCTCACTTTCATTGCTGGTGACATTGGTGATCAGGACAATTAGAGGGGGTGAATCTCTCCAGCAAGGACACAGACAGCACTAAAAACCTGACTGGGTTCTAACCCATCAGCACTCTATCCCAAACTAGAAAAAAGGTTTTTCATTTACTAATACTTTGGGTCTGTAGGGAACAAGGGTTTATTGGCTAAGCCACTATTGTTGATGCCTGAAGAAGAACTTGCAGAGGAGTTGGCTACACAATCTACAGAACGAGCTGGGGGAGAAGACTGCGAAGATCTAGCGGTGGGAGCTTCAAAAATCGAGCTAACCGACGAGTCAGGAGTTTTATCGCCTTGCAGGCCACCAAGGGTGTTCACGTTTGGTTGAGGAATGTTTGTGGATGAATTTGGTGTCACTGAAGATGTAGATTTACTTTGGCACAGGTTGAGCTGATTTTCACCGAGCACAATAGGAGCTGTAGGTGAATCCACCTGCGTAGAGTGTGCGGATTGTGCTTGATGGTTACAAGGCTGAAGACCATCTATGGCGTCTTCCATTTTCACTGAAGAAACCTCTTCAGTCTGGCCATCGGTAGGCAATTTAGGAGGATGAGCAAATACTGTGTCCTGATGGGAGAGAGAGGTTTTGTTCTGCACAGACGGCTGCGTAAAATTCACGCTGTCATCTGGAGGCGTGTCTTGAGGTGGGCGGGGCACAAAGGCTACAGGATGGCCCTGCTGCGACACATTGCTGGCAGCGATCGCACTGACCAGAGGCTGCAGGATTTGGCCTAGTCGATGGATTTCAGCAGACACTCCAGAGATGGCTGACCTCATTAGCTGGGCTCCTTCCCGTATCTCTGCCCTTGTGGCTGCCAGCTCATTCAACAGTTGGCTTTTGAAGTCTGCCAGTTCTTTTATGAGTCCTTCCTGATAGTCCAGTTGCTCTGGAGCCAATTCTCCAAGGTACTGAGACTGAGAAACTTGAGAAACCGTTGAATCCTCCACTACCCACTGCGACATAGAGTTGTCGTCCATTGCATTATCTGCATCTGCAATAAAAATACCATTCTTACTAGTTATGTCCAAACAGATTTGATTTAAAGGGCAAATCCACCCAAAAAGCTAAACACATTAGTATATATACAAAAACAAAAAAAACTTTATGCTTAGTAAAGTTGTAATTGAAATAATTACCACCCCGTGTGAGTGCAACCTGCCAGATAAAATACTTACCTTCTCCTCTCCTGTGATTTTCAATGTGTGGTCCTGCCCAGCACTCAACAGCCTTTGTATGGAAAGCATCCCAGCCGAATCCTCTACTTACTGCACAAATGGCCCATTTAATTTCTATGGATAAGCCAGGGGTGTATTTACCACAGGGCAAACAAGGCACTTGCCTAGGGTGGTATTTTTCAGGGGGGCAGCACCTCTCCCCAAAAGAAGAAATGGAAGAAGGGACACGTGCGCCATGGGAACCAGGTGTGATCTGAGAGAGGCTACTTGATGGTGTATGTAGAGCCTGACTTGGATGTCCGGAGTTGTGAAGATGAGTGTATATATATATATATATATATATATATATATATATATATATATGGGCAGGGGTGTTGTTGGTCAATGGCTGGCTCTCTCCGCGGGAAGGGGTGTGGTGTTGGTCAGTGTCTGTGGGGGCAGACCATTTTTGTGTTGCCTAGGGCAGCACAAAACCTAAAATACACCACTGGGATAAGCCACCCTCCAACTGCCCAGGAGCTGCAACCACACTGTGAAGACTTATGAAACGGGAAGGTATTTTACCAGGGCTGCAGGTTACAAGTAAAAGCTGTCGAGACAGCACATGGAAACACCCAACAAAAATGGCCCACAGGGACTGCACCCCGCCCCCCCCTAGGCTTGAGAGGAAGCCACATGAACCCAGTGTCACCACACACCCTCCTGAGATCCCACAGGAGATGAAATCTATGCATAGGGATACCCCGCATCAGCATAAAGTATTCTGCCAGTGGGTAAGGAGCCCAGCCTAGGGCTGCAGAATGCCTCTTCTGGGGAGTCCCCCTCGCCAGCAAGATCATATATCCAGAATCTAGCCTAGCAAGGGCAGTCCTGGTGAGCCTATGCAGACAATAGCTATTGGATGTGACCTGCAACAGTCAATGGCGAAAAATAAGTCCAGTCAATGAAAACATAAGTACCGTATTTGCCGGCGTATAAGACGACTTTTTGACCCTTGAAAATCTTCTCAAAAGTCGGGGGTCGTCTTATACGCCGGTACACATGTTAGGGGGGCTGCAGCATTAAGTACAGGGGTTTGCAGGGGCTGATGTCTCTTACCTGGATCCAGTCCCACGACGATCCGGTCCAGGAAGCGCGGCGTCTCCTTCAGTTCGGCCACTGGATGTTCGTGCGGCTGCTCGGCTCCGCCTCCTCACCGGTGATTGGCCGCCAGAACTGTAGCTCAGGAAAGGCACACAGGCGGCCAATCACCGGCGAGGGGGATAGAGTAGTCAGGTAAGTGTTCTGTGTAGAGGTGCTTGCAACCACATATGCTGGCTGCATGCACATGACGGCGAGTGCTGGCTGCAGCAGCACCATACGAGAACAGGGTCAGCAAGTCTCAAACCCCATCATTGGTGTCACTGATACCAATGATGGGGCACTATTCCTCCCACTGATACCAACGATGGGGCACTATTCCTCCCACTGACACCAATGATGGGGCACGATTCCTCCCACTGACACCAACGATGGGGACTGACACCAATGATGGGGCACTATTCCACCCCTCACTGACACCAATGATGGGACACCATTCCTCCCACTGACATCAATGATGGGGCACTATTCCTCCCACTGATACCAATGATGGGGCACTATTCCTCCCACTGACACCAATGATGGGGCACTATTCCTCCCACTGGTGTGCATTGGAAGAGGAGTAGTCTTATACGGCGAGTATAGCCCAAACACTACATTTTAGCAGGAAAAGTAGGGGGTCGTCTTATACGCCCAGTCGTCTTATTTGCCGGCAAATACGGTAATCAGTTTTAACAGTGAGCGGGAGGGCCACTCACCCGTACCTTGCCCCACCTCTGCAAAGGAAAGGATGCCGCTCACTCTAGACTTACTATACTCTTACAGTGGGAGCCGAGAGACAAGCGGGGCCTCATCAACTGGGTTTCAGAGCTTGTTGGAATTTTTTTTTTTTTTGGGGACCTGGTATGATCTATTTAATACAACATTCTCAGCCGAGAGACAGGCGAATTCCAGAGAAGTGACTGTCTTACTGGTATATTGTATTGGAGGCGCCTCCGGCACGGCTTCCCTTAGCAGTTGAGGTCCTGCCTCACTACCCTTCCTGCTGGATGCATAACATGCTTGGCTCTTACTCTGATCATTATTGCTGGGAAATTAGGTGCTTTTTTTAGGGGTGAATATTTTTGTTTTATTTGTATTTTCACTGGGCACAGTCTAGAGCAGGCTTGAAAAAGCTGCTTGCCCGCTCGCCAAATGCGAGGAGAAATTCTCTAGCGGCGAGCACAGATGATGGAGCGGCTGCGCTCCAAGCCTCATTGTGAAGCAGAGTTCCGGCTTCTTCGGCACCGCCGCTGAGGGGACAGGTGCAGGAGAGGTCTGCTCTCCTCCGCTGAGAGGAGACACCCTCTCCACCGCCACGGGGGACTGAAGGAGTAAGTACTGTATACATGTCATATCACTATAATGGAGTACAGGGGAGCTGGGATATACATTACTGTGTACAGTTTTATATTTTGGACTCTTTAAAAAATTGAAATTGAATTTCATAAGCTGTAAGGGGGCGTGGTTGGGGGATGGGCCGGGGGTAGGGTTGGAGGCAGACCTGGGCAAGGTTGGGTGGGGCAACTGGTGGAGAGTAAGGTTTGTGCCTGGCTAGTAAGTCTAGACTCAAAATTTTAAGCCCTGTCTCGGGTGACTTCTACGGTTTTCTTTTTTGTTGTTACAAGCTGTGATGAATGTTTTGAAAAATATGTAAAAACCTTTTCAGCTTTAAATAAAGAATGCATAAAAAAGTAAAAGTTGTCCCTTAAAAAGTGCTACTATACAAACACTGTTTAATTTACATTGTCCCTGCTATTTCTCTATGGGGATAATGGTACTGTACTTATTAAAAAAATCTAAGTACCTTTTTCTAAATCAATATACAGCTGTCACATGACCCAGATCTTTCCCAGCCTGTCTGCAGGGAAACAGTGGCAGGAGGAGCCTCTAGTCCTCTGCTGCTGGTCACATGTTCAAAATGAAAACAACCTTTGGAATACGGAGTAAAAATAAAGAATATAAAAACAGTTTTAAATTGTCATACAAATATATATTTGAAATCAAAGCTTCATGATTTTGTGAAAATAACACAGTATGAGTTTTGATAAAAAGAATTTAAAGAAAAAAAAAAAAATATATATATATATATATATAACACGGTATGGGCAGACTTCTGCCAGTCACAGGCTGTGTCATGCCCCTCCAGCCTGTCTCTTAGATTAGGAGGGAGGTGAAGCCTCCATAAAATCTACATGTAATATCCCACCCCCATTGGGTTTAGCTGGTTAATAGGCATGGAGGAAGAGAGGGAGTGGGCTGATATTTACCACTGTGTATACACCCACATGGGCAACTCTATAGTCACATGGGTTGCTCAGATGTGATAGGGAGCAAATGCTCAGCATAGAAACTGCGCATGTGCAGAGTTGCCTCTACGGCTGCATAATCCCTAGCTCAGGGGGTGTCAAACTAGCGGCCCTTCAACTGTTGCGAAACTACAAGTCCCATCATGCCTCTACCTTCAGTAGTCATGCTTGTAACTGTCAATCTTGCAATGCCTCATGGGACTTGTAGTTTGGCAACAGCTGGAGGGCCGCCAGTTTGACACCCATGCCCTTGCTGAAATGGGGACATGAACAGAAGGTTGAGATAGAGAACAGCAAGACCAATTGTTTTTTTTTTTTTTGCAGAAAACAGAAAAAGAATCCAAGTGTGTCTGAATGAGTGTGAACAGCATGTAATACACCATTTATTGATAGTTTTTTTTTAACCTCTTCGCGCCGGCCGCACGCAAATGTGCGGCCTCAAGGCGTCTGGGCCTTGACGCCGAGCGGCCGCACATTTGCGTGCAATTAAGAAAAACATAAGTGCTGAGAGCGCGCAGCCAGCACACATGTCCAGTACTCACAGAAAGGTCCCGATCTCCTCTTTCGATCGGGACCTTTCCCAATCATGTGACCGCCGTGATGGCGAATCATGGCGGTCACACGACCTTAAACCCCACCCCGCCTCCCGAATCCCTTAAAAGGGGTTTTGGGTTTAGTGAAACTTTAAAAGATCTGTCCAAATGAAACAACATGTGGCTTACAGAAAGTTTTTTTTTTTTGACAAAAACAAAAAAAATCTTTCTCCTTTCAAGTGAGAGCGCGCTGACACCCAAAGAAACAAATCACACAAAGCAACAAGTCCAGAATGCACATCATGGAAAGTGAAATTCTGGGTCTCCTTGAAACTAGCTAATAAGAGGGTCATAACTTGTTGTTGGCGATGCTCACAGACAGAACGTTTGGTTTCCCAATTATTGCACATGGTATGTACTGTGCTTACACCGTCCGTGACCATCGGAGCCAATGGCTTCGGTCCCAACACATGTCTTCTTCCTTGTTCTTAATTCTCCGTTCACCCAGCAGCCGTGCACATCCAGGCTGGGAGACCTCCCTTGCTGGTTTAGCTTTTAAAACGAGATGTTATTATAACAAATTATAAATGAATCCAGTCTAAAGCAAAAAGTGGGGTTTCTTGTATTAATCTGTATTGTAATTGTGCTCTCTGCCCACGCTTAAAACTGTTTTGGCATATTTAAAAAAATAATAATAAACATGATTATAAGTTTAGCACACACAAACCCATAGTTTTAATCCTTCCCCTGAAGACCAGTACAAAAATCATAAAAACTTTTTCTCCACTTATGGAAAGTGCTCACTATTCCAAAATGAAATTTTCAGACGTTTTTCATATACCTCAAAAAAAAAAAAAAACCAAAGTAACAAGTGTATTAATAGGTATCACAAGTAATAGTGCCAGATAAGTGCAGCATGCAAACACTATAGTGTCACAGCATTCGTGAAGAAAATACCCCAGATATCTCTGCAAACCATATAAAAAATGCATAATTATCCTAACTCAAAAAATATCAGCATGTGATCACCAAGCTGGCATCCTCTTGTTCCTTTGGACCTCACAAACAGACCATATGAAAAATTTATATAAAATTTTATTGTAGCCACTTACATTAAAATCTTAGTAAAACCGGCTTCCTATGCGACAACTGAGTACCACCAATATGAATGATCTCTAGGGAGTCAACCCCCGTCACATTCCTGCCCGTCTCTGGGGGAACACCAGGAGTACACCGCGAGTCCCAGGAATGCAAACACAAGCGCTCCAGAATCCAAAATGGTCTGCTAGCACTTCCGGGAACGTCAATACGCCACGTGCCCTGGACGCGTTTCGTCACTTCCAGACTTTTGTCCGGTTTTTGATTTTAATGTAAGTGGCATTTATTTATCAATTTTTCATATACTGATTCCCTGTTTATGAAGTCCAAAGGAACAAGAGGATGCCAGCTTGGGGATTTTCCATGCACACTGGTTGATCACATGCTGATATTTTTTGAGTTAGGGTAATTATGCATTTTTTATATGGTTTGCAGTGATATCTATTGAGTATGTTCTTCACGAATGTGACACTATAGTGTTTTGCATGCTGCACGTGTGGCACTATACTTGTGATACCTAAGATAACACACTATGTCTAGATTTAATTTTATTTTGAGTTATATGAAGAATCTGAGTTTTATCTTCATCTTCATTTTGGAATAGTGAGCACTTATCCATCAAGATTTGGATATCACGTTGGACTTTTTTTGAGTTTTTATGTGAAATTTTGGACATTTTATTTTTGGGACTTTAAGTTTTGTACATTTATTTTGTTTTTTTTTAATTTAAATATTTATTAGTTTTTCATATTACTACAAAAATTCCATCAGAAGAGACAAAATACATATAAATAATCAATACATTTCTACTTTGCCCCTTCTAAACCTCTTTTCTTTTCTTTCCCTTCCCTCCCAACCCACTTCTACCCCCCTTCCCTCCTCCCTCCCCTCTGCAAGATCTCCAATCTCTCAGGCCCAATAACTTTAAATAACTTCCTAGTTTAAAATTTTTCTATATTTCTCTTTCAATCCTGATTTTTTCCATTTTTCCCATCACGAATAGTATAATTCCAACCTGTCTATTAAGTTTGTTCATTTAAGTCGGTTGATATTGTATAATAATAAGAATAATGTGTTATAATCAGGAGCCACGTAAATCCCTCATCAGTGTTGCCATATAAACAGACTTCAGGCATTATAGCAGCCGGGAATTTTCTTTTTAACATTTATACACCACAAACCGTCTTTCTACATTGGTTGTAAGGTGTGGCCCTCCCCTTTCACTGGCTTCCCCTGTTGGACCCCCACATCCATGTGTCCAGGGATTCCTGGATACCCCTGAGATCTCTGGCAGTTGTTCAGTGAACACCCGTTTTCTGTTCTTCCCTAGGTAGAATGAACCGGGAAGTGCTTAGCTATGAGCACTTCTGGGTTCAGCGCTATCAAACCCCTGCCGTTCAGTAAGACTGTGCTTAATCAGATGCAACAGAATGCAGAGGTGACATTAGGAACTGCCTTAAAGAAAGTCACCAGCACTGTACTGTAATAGCAAATAAAGCTAAAAAAGGAATACAAAAATGTTAGAGAACATTTAATAAAATAAACAACCACCCCCCAAATTTTTAAAAGCCCTCTACCCACACGTACGTACAAATGTGCATGCCAGGTGCCAATGCACACAAAAAGACGACTGAGCTACATATTTTGGGTATCGCTGCCCATGATGGAGTGAGACCAATAATTCTGGGGACTATGATTTATACTCTAAAATGAAGACCTGTAAAGTAGTTCAAAGTGTTGCCCATAGAATTTTTGGGTACAGTATTTTTTGCCTTTTCATGGACAGGAGCGATTTTCAGGCTTGACATCTTTAGCATCTATTTACTTGATGCAATCTTTATATTTTACAACAAAATGGGCATTATATTGTTTTTGTATGTAGTAAAATTCATTTGAGTGTACTTGTACTTAAAAATATACATTTTATTAATGGTAGTGCATTTACTGTGTGACATAAGAGTAGCAACGGCCAGCATTTTATTCTACAGAATCTCTACTTTCAGAAATCATATTTTTGGGATTTTAAAAGCAGATCGCCAGGTTTCATTTAACTTTTTTTTTTTTTTTATAAACACTTTTTACTGAAAAAGTAAACAAAGTACAGTAGAACTCGTCTCATCAAAGCATTGTATATAATAGACTGTATATCCAAACAGGAAAAAAAAAAAAAAAAAAAAAAAAACACACAGTAATCCAAAATAAAAAAAAAAAAAAAAAGAACTTCTCAGTTTTGTTCAAATAAATGGTACATACATGTTAATGCACATCTTAACCACTTGAAAAGAGGCTGTTCAGTTACAAACTGGTATAGAGCTAAGAATATATTATTTGGATGTAATGGTGGGGATAGAGGAGCACCAAACATCCCGCACTTTAATTATACTTTCATGGGCATCCCGTGTTCATATAGAACCTTCATATAATGGCAGAAGTTGGGCAGCGGCATGTGCAGGAACGTACAGGGGAGAGATCTGTATCTCTCTCTCCACCGTCAGTAATACTCGGAGATCGTCGGGTGTCGGTGGGGAGCAGGGGTGGACTGACCATTTGGAAACCCGGGCACTGCCCGAGGGCCCTGGGTCAGTAGGGGGCCCCACGAGATGCCCCTGGTACCTTTTTCATAGGCTTTTTTGAGTTTGGGCAAGGACACAGGGGCCCCATGATCCCCTATAGCCCGGGGGCCCCATGAGTTGTCAGTCCGCCCATGGTGGGGAAACACCAGCTGGGACTCGGTGATTGACAGCTGAGGCCATGAATGGTGGCGTGGTTAGGGCATGCATGCCCCCCTACCTGAAACTGCAAAATCATGAATATATGTGATTTTGCGGACCCGTGCTGCCCTGTAGCAGTATTAGCAGCGGTTAGGCAGTCACTTTACAGCAGGGCTTAAACTGTGAGAAGTAGCATAAAAAGCCAAATCAGTTCATGTGCTGACAAGGAGCCAGATCATGTGACTAGCAGCAGGCTGAAAATAGGCAAGTATATACATCTTTTTTTATACAAATTAGTGAGTGTAGGTGTTAGGAGAAGGGAGGGGGCATTTTGTAGGACTAATTAGGCTTTTTTTTGGAATTCTACTTTAAAAGAATTCAGGATACTGGTTATAAATGGGTAAGTAGGAGACACCCATATGTCAATTGTACACCTGATAATTCTTGCTAGCACTGAGTATGTGGAGTCGATTTACTAAAAGGCAAATCGTTCACTTTAGCCGTTTTGCTGCCAGAGCCGTTTTCGCATTTTTTGCACACATTAAAAAAAATAATTTCAGGCCTGAAGATTACACAAAACCCCCAAACATTATACATTTTCTGAAAGCAGACACCCCAGAGAATAAAATAGCGGTAGATCCAATTTTTTATGTCACATGATTTTGCCGCAAAATTTCAGCAAAAACATATTAAAGTGAATTTTAGGGCAAACAAATGCAATAAATTACTCACATTTTTGCAAAAATATAAAAGATGAGGTTGCGCCGAGTAAATAGATACCCAACATATCAAACTTAAACTGGCGTGCACCTGTGAAATTGCGACAAACTTCAGTACCCGATATTTTCTATAGGCGGCACTTCAAAAGCCCCTACAGGTCATCAGTTTAGTGTTGCGGAGGAGGTCTTGTGCTGGAATTATTGCTCTCACTCTGGTGTGTGGGGAAATATGTAGCGTGTATCGCAATCAGCATTTTCACGTGTAGGTGACCCCAACGCGTCTGTGTACATTCATATATGTGAGGGTGGGGCCTCAATTTTTTTGGGGGATATGTTATGTGCTTGGGTGTAACTGAATTTTTCTTTCAATTAAAACCCCCCCTTTTTTTTTTTTTTAAAACAAAGTCCCCTATGTGATGATTTTTAGGTGACAGGTTCTCTTTAATGAGACATGCAGTGTCTAAAAGACCCCACGTCTCCTCTGGGCTCCACTGAATGTATTGCAATGCAGATCACATTGCAATACATTTCTCTCCGGCTATTCTAGCCGGGGAAAGTGACGTCCTGCACGCCACTTTCCAGGTCCCGGCAAGAAGGGGAAGACAGCGGACATGTGCCTGCTCTCCTCTCTCCCCTCCACCCGCCATGTCAGCCCTGGGCCCGCAGATGGACAAGCGGAGCTCGGAATACATGACGGAAGTGTGAGAGTGGCGGGGAAGGGGGGGGGGCACCATTACTGAGGGCTGTGGAAGCAATCGGCGACTACTGCTTCCACCTGACAGGCAGGGAACCTGGCAGTGAAAGGGTAAAATGTGCAGTTGCATTCAGCAAGGGCATTAGCTCCGGAGCTTAGTAAATGAGGTGAAGCTTCAGTTTGCAAAGAATACCCAATCACATGCAAGGAAAAAAAAAAAAAGAAAAACAAAAAAAACTGAATTTTTGCTTGCACATTGGATGATGGAAGTCAGCAGAGCTTCCCCACATTTACTGAGCTCTGGAGAAAATTCCCTTGCAGAGTACTTGCAAAGTGCACACTCTGTTTGCCTTTAATTAATCAACCCCAATGTCTACATATAACAGGCAGTGCACAGCTCTCTGTTAATAGTTACCTGTAAATGCTCCGTGTCTGCAAAGCCAGCCGACATCTCTGCTGGGTTCCTTGGCCTATAGGAGTTGAAGAAACCAGAGGGTGACTGAAACTGGTCCATCTCCTGGTATTGTCCATACTGCAGAGAGCCATTCCAGAGGTCATGGCTGAAGAGGGAGACCTAAGATTGACATACAAAAAGGTACAACATCTCACTAATATTTTATCATTACAGGTAGGTGATATATAATATATATAATATATATATATATATATATACATATACACACACACACATATATACACACACACACACACACACACACACACACACACACACACACACACAGCACTTTACAGCACTTTACATACTCTGTACATTCATATCAGTCCCTGTCCTCAAGCAGCCTACAGTCTAAGGCTCCGAACCTACATGCATACATACATGCTAGTTTACACAGGAGCCAATTAGCTACCAGCATGTCTTTAAATTGTGGGAGGAAATCTGACTACCCAGAAGAAGAAACCCGTGCAAGCACAGGCAGGACTATCTTGAGGACATCTAGCTCCATCTTCCCCAGCCTGAGAGTACCTGGCCTGCCCCTTTCATTCATTGAATTTTAGTGCTTTAAGGGCCAGTTCACACTCCATGCGTTTCAGTTACTTTTTTTTTTGCATCCAAAATGCACAGAAAGTAGGTAATATGGTTGTCAATGTCATAGTTCACATCAGTGCTTGCAGTTCCAGATGTAGAAAAAAAAAATAGAACAGGCTGCATTTTTTTTAGCACAGAACTGTACTGGAATGCAGTAAAACGCATCAACAATGCACCGGAACGTAATGGAATGGACGTCCCTATTTAAATTGAAGAAAGAGGGGAAAAAATTAAATGGAACACATCAAAAACGCATCAAACACACACTGGAGCGTGCCAAAAACGTGCATGCAGAAACGCATCCAAAACGCATCTGGACTGTGCTTCTATAGCTGCTTAGTGTTAGTTCACACCAGATGCAGTTTAGTGCGTTTTTTCTGCATAAAAAAAAAAGCATGCAAAGTGTTTTCCATGTATTCCAATGGCCCTAGTTCACCCCAGTGCAGTCAGAGTCTGTTTCCGGTGCAGGAAAAAGAAAAAAGTAGAACATGCTGCATTTTTTCTGCACAGAACCATACTGGAACATAGCAAACCGCATCGGAACTTCGCGTAATGTGAACTGTAACCAAAAACGTATCCGGAATGAATCTGGAGTGTATTTTTGTGTGTGTGGACTGGCCCTTATGCAGGCCATAGACGGGTTGAAAATCGGCTGATTTTCGCACCGTTAGTGGGTTAATTGGTCGACCGTTTTTCGGGGTTGACACATTTTTTTTTTTCGGTAAAGTTGGAAAAAAAAAGTCAGCCGATTTTGCTGATCGTTTTACCGATAAAAAAAATCTGCGCATGAACCGTGACCTGGAGAAGGAGGAGGGAGGAAGGAGGAGGAGGAGGAAGGAGGAAGGAGGGGAGGGGAAGGAAGGAAGGAAGGAAGGAAGAGGGAGGGAGGAAGGGGGAGAGGGAAGAAGAATTCCAGTTCGCTATTATATTTGACATGAAAAAGTATTGTGGTTGCAACAATGTATCTATTTGTAGCCGAATAAAAACATCTGTATCTCAAATGGATACATTGTTGCAACCACAATACTTTTTCATGTCAAATATAATAGCGGAGCTCTCTGCAGGGCCATAGACAGGACGAAAATCAGCCGATTTTTTTTTCTTACCGTTGGTGGTAACGTCGGCCTAGTGTACGGCCGATTTTTTTTTTTTTTTTTTTTTTTTAAATGGCCTGTTTTCGACCTGTCTATGGCCTGCATTAATCACAGAGGACACAGCATCACATGTGGGTGTTGCCTAGGGTGATCTGCATGCAAACGAAGTCTGTCCAGAAACAACCACTATTCCAGACTGACACCTGCCCATCAAGGCATTTTGATATTTGCATAACTCTTCCCAATAGCTAGCCCACTGCTTACATCAGGGCTGAGGGCTCTTGAGAGGAGTACTGAGGAAGAGTGCTATGATGTTTATCAGAAAGCTACGTACAACACTCTGTCGATCCCTCCCATCAGCCATGATCTGCCTGAATTGCATAGAGAAGTACAGAGACCAAACGACGGTGTAACTAGTTCTAACATAAGACTTGTAATGAAAATGGAAACGTTTTCTTTATAAATGTCTTTATCGTGTCCATTAGAAAGGGAAGGCAAAATAAAAACAGATTAAAAACTTCAGCTCCAAACATAAAAGAACTGAATAAGCAACTGGAATAGGCTGCAAAATGTCTTCAACTTTACAGATCAGGCCCAAATGAATGTGACTAAAGTACTATTCACTATATGATGGCCTACTAGTTAAATATGAAACTTCACCAAAATGATCCCATCAAATGGGGAAAAGTGCAACTTCGTCCTTTATAAGGCGTCTTAAAGTGTTGTGAATAAAAAAGTGTTTTAGATTTGTAAGTAATCAATTGTACACAAATGAAGGACAAGTGTATTCTGAACACAAATGATTTTCTGAGACAAGAGGAACACAAAAAAGGGTCATTAAAATTGGCGGCTCAACAAGGGCAATGGAGCAAAGCAAAGCTGAAGGGACAGCTCCAAGCAGCGGGATGGAAAAAGACAGAGGCAGTAATCAAACCTGGTCTCGTATGCCTTTCTCTGGCTGTACTTTCCTTGGTCTTCCTCGTCCTCGTTTCTCCTAAAAACAGACATTGATTAAGCAATGCAGCTCTCATTCTAGAACACTGGAATCCTGCTGTAAAGGTCCAGAATATCCAAAGTCACACCACAGTTAGAACTACAAACCAGAACCACGGCTTAGGCTTCGTTCACAAGGGTGTATGGGAAGGCCGTATTTGCATGCGCTGTTGTGAATGGTCCCACAGTCTTCTGGGACCTCTGCGGTGGTGGTGGGGGGAGGTAACTGTCAAAACCAGGTACCTGCTCCCGCCTCCCCCCAAAAAATGTGCCACTTGTTAAAGATGAGCTTTAATGCACACAAACTTGATTTATATCTTTTTGGGCTATTGAGGAATATATTTAAAATTCTATTTTTGTACCCGAGTAAGCTCGGGTTCACACTGATGCGGTGCAAAATTCGCAGCGTTTTCTGTGCCAATTACGCACTGCATCAGAATTGCACCCCGTACATGCGAATCACTGCGGGTGTGTATGTTACGTTAACAACACCCCAAAATCTGTCCACAAAACGCAGTGTGATTTGCAGAATTGGATCACATTAGGTGTGAATACCCATGCAATCCGATTCTAGTGCAGACCAAAAAAAGGATCCCGTGCCTTTCTGGAGCGGGTGCGGAGCGATTAGAGCCATACAAAATGTACGGCTCCGATTGCACCGCACACAAATTGCATGTGATTTGCACAGGAATGTGGTGCGGTTCCTCTGCGAATCATATGCGATTTACCGCACCACATCATGTGAACCCAGGCTTAAGCTTCTTGCTGTCTAACAGAAGATTTATTAACACAGCTTGAAGTTAAAAAAAAAAAAAAAAAAAATCAGAGAAAATGTACCGTTATCTTATCATTCCTACGTAGACAGACATCCGCCGCATGTGTGATGGTTCCTAGGCACACTCTGTTGCTCCAGCTTCACAGGAACTTTATGAGTTTAATAGGTATACCCCGCCCACTTCTGCTTCCAATTACTGGATTACAATATTGTCATTAAGTGGCAGATTATAGGAAAAGGAATTGCTGTTTAAGTGTGGATTCACATGTGCGGTGCAAATTGAAGCTCCGTTTTCACAAAGTAGTTGTTCGGGGTTTCAGGTGAGGATTTTATCCTCTTCACAACTGATGACATGTGCGATTCAGAAGCGTCCCATAGAACTGGCCTGAATTCACATCTGAGCCAGACCACACTGCCCAGAAAACTCTCAGGACTCTTTAAAAAATTTGCACACTGGATCTGCACCAGGCATACTGTATGTGAACAGGCACAATAGAAAGCAATGTTCTCTCACGTCATGTGAACTGGATACGGTTCGAAATGCATCCAATTCACATATGAATTCGCATGTGATCCGGCTGTTACAGTGATGCTGTGCAAGTGGGCTGGGGAAGAACAACAGCTACGGTATGTCTACTGTAAGTTCTATATCGGTGGTCAGCAAACTCTTGATCATGATCTACCAGTATATTGCAGCCAGGTGACTGGTAGATCTCAGTCTGGGCTTGCTGACCCGCCATCCTAGAGCATGCCTTCACGCTGGCCGCACACAAATGTGCGGCCTCCCGGCGTCTGGGCCCAGACGCCGAGCAGCCGCACATTTGCGTTCATGTAGCAAAAAACATATGTACTGAGAGCGCGCTCCCAGCACACGTGAGGTACTCACGGAAAGGTCCCGGTCCGCTCTTTCGATCGGGACCTTTCCTGATCATGTGACTGGCTGTGATGTCATGGTGGCCACAAGACACTAAGCCACGCCCCGTCCCACCCACCTCCCGGCGCAGGAACTCCTCTTCACGCCGGGACGATCTGGCATGAAGGGGTTAAACAGAGTGCAATGCAGAGGGACTACTTGTAAAGTTGGAGTTGTAATACAGAGTAAGATCTGTGTATGCCGATGCCTCCTCTTTAGTGCCGGCTCCTGTCCCATGCAGAGTGATACCAACTGTACTCCACCTCTTATCCCGGCTCTCCGGAGTGGTGCCAGCAGCAGGAAAGAGGAGACCTCCAGGTCAGTGTGAAGCCATACACTGGGCACAATAGTAAAGGACTGCTTTCAACTGATGTGCTGCGGTTTCCCCACACCACGGGTGCAGTGCAGAGTACCTGCAGCTTTCATGTAGGCTTGGTGCACTCAGCCATAGACTTCCATTATATCCTGGGGGTTTGGTGCACTTAGCATAGACTTCCATTATATCCTTTGGTGCACTTAGCCAAGACTTCCATTATATCCTGGGGGTTTGGTGCACTTTTTGAAAGCATACCAAAACTCCTGAATGCGCATCTAACCCAGGAAAGTTGCAGATGCACTGCGCTGCTCCCTCGGTGCAGGTAAACCGCAGCACATCAGTGTGAATGCAGCCTTATAGGGGGCTCAGAACAGTAAGAGTTCATTTACATAAGCAGTTTGGGGGTGGTAAAACCCCATTGTTAAGAAATATTTTTACCACCCCCACTGCACCCCCTTTAGACGCAGTGGCCAGGGGTGTACACATCTCACAGTCACAGCAGGAGTTGTGTCCTGTCATGGTTGGTGGGTGTAGCACCTGCCAAGCATGACCCTGTCAAGTGAATGAGTCTGCTTTGCAAGTGCCCTGCAACCTTGTGCAGTACAGCAAACAAGGGGTTAAAGCAGGAAGCAACGTGTTACTCTCTTGCCACCTGCTTTAACCCCTTGGACCCCACAGCAGCATGCAGTTGCGGGGCGCTTGCAGAATGGCCCCATTTACTTGAATGCATCGTGATTGGTAGGCTGTAGCACCCACTAAAAGCAACAGGGGGTTTAATTCCTGCTGTGGCATGTACACTGGATATACAAAGTCTACACACCCCTGTTAAAATGTCAGGTTTCTATGATGTAAAAAAAAAAAAAAAATATATATGAGACAAAGATAAATAATATCAGAACTTTTTCCACCTTTAATGTGACCTAAAAACTGGACAACTCAGTTAAACAACAAACTGAAATCTTTTAGGTGGAGGGAAGTAAAAATAAAACCCGAAAAATGATGATTTACATCACAGAAACCTGACATTTTACCAGGGGAGTGTAGACTTTTTTAATATCCACCGTATGCACTTCAGTAGCTAAAAGGGGGTAGGGATTGGGGGGGCAGGAAGTAAAACGGAGATTCAACTACAGGGTTTTACCTCCCCTCCCAACTTTACATGTGAAAAAGCCCTAAGGGTGCCGCTGCCGAATGCGACTATGCTGCTGCTCTAATGAAAAGCATTTGTGTTTGACAGGTGGTGAGGAGGCGATATGTTGCCTTTTCACCACCCGATTTAAACCCACAATTGCCATGCAATGCACACGATTGTGACGCGGCAGTTAGAGGTTTAAATCAGATGTGAGGAGGCAGCACTCAGTGACACTGACAGAGAGATGAGCTCATCACTGTGCTTCTTCTGCTTCATTGTCTGCGCACAGTCTGGGGGTGAGTCTATGACAACCCACACTCAGTGGGAGTGGCTTCAGTAATGGTGGCTGCCATTAAACCCAGAAGACTGGAGACATCTTGTAATGGAAGAGAAGTACTGTGTGGGACAGCTCTGGATTAAGCCTCCATTCACACTCATGCGACTTTGGGGTCCAAAGTCGCATGACAAGTCGCCCCCCATGTTTCCCAATGGGTACCACTCATATCTGTGTGACTTCAAGACACAACGACTTCAAAGTAGTTCCTACTACTGACTTTCATGCGACTTGAGGGCCACAGACTTCATGTAAACCCTTACATGAAAGTCGCACCTGAATGTTGTACATGTGACTTGTGTGCGACTTTGTACAGCAGGAACATTTATCCTCGGTCAAAGCCAAAGTCGCACCAAAGTTGCACTCATCCAAAGTCGCATCAAATCACACTGTAAAGTCGCACAAGTGTGAATGGAGCCTAAAGGCAACTATTACTTTATTTTATTTTTATTCTTGGTATCCTGCTATAAACCATTCATGCCTGCAAAAAGCAAATACAGTGCCTGCCTCCCAAAGCTGCTCCATTACAGCTTTCTGTTTATGACTCCAGTGGTTCATATAGTGAACTCGATGTAGAGCTATTCACCCTGAGGTCATCACAGAGGACAAGGGGGCGCTCTTTACGTCTGGAGGAAAATAAATGTAATCTCCAAATATGGAAAGGTTTCTTCACAGTAAGAGCTGTGAGAATGTGGAATAGACTCCCTCAAGAGTTGGTTCTGGCTAGCTCAGTGGATCGCTTCAAAAAAGTCCTGGATTATTTCTCAGGATACACAGAATATAACTGGATATAACATTTATAGGTAAAGTTGATCCAGGGAATATCCGATTGCCTCTCGGGGGGATCAGGAAGGAATTTTTTTTTTCCCCAGCAGGAGCAAATTGGATCATGCTTTGCTGGTTTTTTTTGCCTTCCTCTGGATCAGCTGTGGGTATAGGATTATAACTTTTCTTTTTTCTATGGTTGAACTGGATGGACTTTTGTCTTTTTTTAGCCAGACTAACTATGCAAGTATGGGTGAGCTACATGGCAGGTCTATTTTAGATGTATTAGGGCCAGTGCTGAAGGACAAACCAGGCAGAGTTCATTGCATGTGAATTTGACTTGCGGCTGACCTGCTTTTGCATTCCCATAGATTTCCATTGCAAGAAATTTGAAGCCAAACATAAGTCCTTCTTTTCTACCTGTCTGAATGTATCACCACTTACCACCACTACGGTCACTGAAGCTACCCCTGCAGGCTTCCTTTTCATTGTTGTTAGTCTGCCTGCTAGCACGTTACTTGCAGAGTCTTTTCTGGGTCTCCCTCTTCTTCTTTTTGTGCCAACGAGAGCTTTCAAGGAAGCCTGGAGTTTCTTGTCAACCTTAAGGAAAGAAAAAGAGGATTCTGTAGAAGATGGCTCCATACCACGCCACAATGTCAAGCTGCACCAAGCTCTTACACATCCAAAAGACCCCTCCTGTGAGCCATACTTCCAACTACAATCATTTTCTTTTTATGTCTACCAACAAGGTTCTATGGGGTGTCAGGATCTGGACCCAAACCCAGGTCCTCTGTTGCATCTGGCAGTGGCTCTTCTTACTGTGCTACCTAAAGTGCTAGACAGCTCCCTGCATTGTCCCCAAGTCAACCTTACTTTAGATCTTGTTTCTGGTGAACCTTGAACTCTTTGCTCCTCCCAGGAACTTCCCATTTAAGCCATGCATTTGCACTTCCTGTTTGCTAAATTATTGTGCTCTTCTTCAGCCACTCTCTTGCTCCTTATGCTCCTGCTGCTTTCCGTATCTTCTCCACCACTTGTTACCAACCTTTGGCTTGTTCATTGACTATGCTTCCGGTTGATCCCAACCTGCAACCAATTGCTGCCAACCTTTGGCTTGCTCATTGACTATGCTTCCGCTTGAGCCCAACCTGCAACCAGCTGTCACCAACCTTTGGCTTGATCATTGACTATGCTTCCGCTTGATCCCAACTTGCGGCCAACTGTCACCAACCTTTGGCTTGATCATTGACTATGCTTCCGCTTGATCCCAACCTGCAGCCAACTGTCACCAACCTTTGGCTTGATCATTGACTATGCTTCCGCTCGATCCCAACCTGCAGCCAATTGTTACCAACCTTTGGCTTGTTCATTGACTATGCTTCCATTTGATCCCAACCTGCAGCCAATTGTACCAACCTTTTGCTTGTTCATTGGCTATGCTTCCGCTTGATCCCAACCTGCAACCAACTGTCACCAACCTTTGGCTTGATCATTGACTATGCTTCCGCTCGATCCCAACCTGCAGTCAATTGTTACCAACCTTTGGCTTTTTCATTGACTATGCTTCCACTTGATCCCAACCTGCAGCCAATTGTTACCAACCTTTGGCTTTTTCATTGACTATGCTTCCACTTCATCCCAACCTGCAACCAGCTGTCACCAACCTTTGGCTTGATCATTGACTATGCTTCCGCTTGATCCCAACTTGCAGCCAACTGTCACCAACCTTTGGCTTGATCATTGACTATGCTTCCACTTCATCCCAACCTGCAGCCAATTGTCACCAACCTTTGGCTTGTTCATTGACTATGCTTCCATTTGATCCCAACCTGCAACCAACTGTCACCAACCTTTGGCTTGATCATTGACTATGCTTCCACTTGATCCCAACCTGCAGCCAATTGTTACCAACCTTTTGCTTGTTCATTGACTATGCTTCCGCTTGATCCCAACCTGCAACCAACTGTCACCAACCTTTGGCTTGATCATTGACTATGCTTCCACTTGATCCCAACCTGCAGCCAATTGTTACCAACCTTTTGCTTGTTCATTGACTATGCTTCCGCTTGATCCCAACCTGCAGCCAACTGTCACCAACCTTTGGCTTGATCATTGACTATGCTTCCGCTCGATCCCAACCTGCAGCCAATTGTTACCAACCTTTGGCTTGTTCATTGACTATGCTTCCATTTGATCCCAACCTGCAGCCAATTGTTACCAACCTTTTGCTTGTTCATGGCTATGCTTCCGCTTGATCCCAACCTGCAACCAACTGTCACCAACCTTTGGCTTGATCATTGACTATGCTTCCGCTCGATCCCAACCTGCAGCCAATTGTTACCAACCTTTGGCTTTTTCATTGACTATGCTTCCACTTGATCCCAACCTGCAGCCAACTGTCACCAACCTTTGGCTTGATCATTGACTATGCTTCCGCTCGATCCCAACCTGCAGTCAATTGTTACCAACCTTTGGCTTGTTCATTGATTGTGCTTCAATTTGATCCCAACCTGCAGCCAATAGCTACCAACCTTTGGCTTGTTCATTGACTATGCATCCGCTTGATCCCCACCAGCTTTATCTGTTGCCAGACCCCAGCTTGCTCTCCTCCTGGTAAGGTGATCCCAAGGACTGCAACCTGCTACTAGCATGCTCCAAAACCCACCTCCAACACCAGGGGCTCTGGTGAAAACTGGCTAGTGCTTAGACCCCGAGCCTCAGGTGAGCCCATGTCAACCCACCAGGGGAACCCGTATGTGTATTATCTTGCTGGTTACTGTGTGAACCTGTCTACTGCTATAGCTAATGGTCTCCAAGCCTTAGATGGCCATTCGATGGCACCAATGATCATAGGAAATGATCATACTAGAGAAAATAGTGCACATTTTTATATAAATAAACCCCTATGTGTCATATTATCATACATGATCACCATACCACCAGACTGATGCGAATCTACAATATACGTATGTACAAGCGCTGCGTAAATTGACGGCGCTGTATAAGCACCTGTAATAAATAAATAATAAATACCAGTATGTTTTTAGTCAGGCTCCTTCCTTGTTCATCTATGTACTTTATTATATTGGTGTTATGGGTTGGACCCTGAACTCTGACTGATGCATTCGGTATGTTCACAGCCTTTTCTCTTTTTAACAGTGGATGAGGTCCCGCATTTTTAGCCGCTGAATTATGTAGCCTCAGGAGGCCGTCTTTCCTTTTGGCCCTTATGGATGCTTTCCTGGAGTCTTCCAGATGTTCTGCTATTCTGTTCCTTGGACAGTCGGACACTTTAGCCTTTGGGATGTCCACAGCTTCTATTCGCATTAAGCGCGGTCTTCCCCGCGCTCTTTTTACGGGGACATCTTGTGGTCTTTTCAGCAGTGAATTTATTTTGGAGAGGACAGTAACTTTCTTTGTGCTTCCAAGAGGTCGCCCTCGCCCTCTTTTCTCAGAGGGTCCTGCCATGCTTGGGAGAGGTTTTGATTCAGCTGCTCTGGTGTTGACTCTAAATCCAGCTCCACCGCTTCCCAAACTTCTCATAGCTACATCTGTAGAGATATCCCTGTAAAATTAAGAGGACATGTTCAAACTATCTATAGAGAAAATCCTTTAACATTTCGGGCCAGTTCACACGACATGCGTTTTCAGTTGCTTTTTTTTCTGCATCCAAACGCACAGAAAGTAGATATGGTTGTCAATGTCATAGTTCACATCAGTGCTTGCAGTTCCAGTGCGTTCCGGTTGCTGAATAAAACCAAGTAGAACATGCTGCATATTTCTGTACTGTTTTTTTTTCTAAAAATTGTCAGTCTTTTTTTGCTTATAGCCAAAAAATAAAAAATGTACAGGCGATCAAATACAACCAAAAGAAAGCTCAATTTATGGGGGAAAAAAAAAAAGAGACAAATTTATTTTGGGTGCAGCGCGCAATTATCAGTTAAAGCAATGCAGCGTTGTAACAAAGGGGGGGGGGGGGGGGTAATCCTCTGGAGGGTAAGTGGTTAATCAGCCCCAGAACCTGTGTAATTAACGTGTTTGGGTTTAAAGGGATGAAGTGGCGACCCTAATGTTCCCCTCAAATCTAGAGCAACTGCACTTGCAATGAACTTGGAGTACACAAGCTATTTAGCTTTGGTGAATCAACCCCATAGACTTTTAGTAGCATTTATCAGCAAAAAAACCTCAGGTCAATGTGTCCTGGAGCAGCAGCATCTTGGCAGAAAAAACACTTGATGCGTGTAAACGCGCGTTAACGCTAGATGCGTTTAACGCTTGAGCGTTCATTTCAATGGCCAGAATAAATTTTTATTCTGGCCAATGAAATGAATTAGCGCCCAAGCACTCCTGTAAACGCATCTAAGGGCTAGTTCACACTAGACACAGTCCAGTGCGTTTTTTTTCTGCATCAAACATGCATTCACAGTGTTTTCCATGTATTCCAATGGCCCTAGTTCACACTAGATGCAGTCCAGTGCATTTTATTTCTGCATCAAAAATGCATGCAGTGTTTTCCATATATTCCAATGGCCCTGGTTCACACTAGACACAGTCCAGTGCATTTTATTTCTGCATCAAAAATACATGCACAGTGTTTTCCATGTATTCCAATGGCCCTAGTTCACACCAGTGCAATCAGTTCCCGGTGCAGAAAGAAAAAGTAGAACATGCTGCATTTTTTCTGCACAGAACCATACTGGAACATAGCAAACTGCATCAAAACTGCATCGGAATTGCACGTGGTGTGAACTGGAAGCAAAAACATATCCGGAATGCATCCGGAATGCATCCGGAGTGCGTTTTTGTGGTGTGAACTGGCTCTGAATGCCTGTGAAAGTCTTAGACACTCTGACAAGTACCAGGTGTTTTTTTCTGCCAAAACGCTGCTGCCAAGAGGAAGAGCGGTTTTAAAACCTCCCATGTGCATGAAGCTTAAGGAAAAAGAAAAGAAAAAGAAAAAAAGGAAAAAAGAAAAAAAGAAAAAAAAGAAAAAAAAAAAAGACAGAAAGAAAAAAGACAGAAAGAAAAAGACAGAAAGAAGAAAAGACAGAAAGAAGAAAAGACAGAAAGAAGAAAAGACAGAAAGAAGAAAAAAAGAAAGAAGAAAAGACAGACTGAAAGAAGAAAGACAGAAAGAAGAAAAGACTTCCCAGAAAGAAGAAAAAAACAGAAAGAAGAAAAGACAGAAAAGAAAGAAAAAAAGAAAAGAAAGAAAAGAAAGAAAAGAAATGTAGCCACCACATCTAAGAACTGATAAGTTGCAAAATGCTGCTGCCAAAAGGAAGAGCATTTTTAAAACTTCCCATGTACATGAGGCTTAAGGAAAAAGGAAAGAAAAAGAAAAAGGGAAAGAAAAAAAGGAAAAAAAAAAAAAAAGGAAAGAAAAAGCAAAGAAAGAAAAGAAAGAAAAGGAATGCAGCCACATCTAAGAAACTGATAAGTTGCAAAACACTGCTGCCAAGAGGAAGAGCGGTTTTAAAACCTCCCATGTGCATGAAGCTTAAGGAAAAAAAAGAAAAGAAAAAGAAAAGAAAGAAAAGGAAAAAAGGAAAGAAAAGAAAAAAAGGAAAGAAAAGGAAAGAAAAGAAAAGGAAAGAAAAGAAAAGGAAAGAAAAAAAAAAGAAAAAAGAAAGAAATGCAGCCACCACATCTAAGAACTGATAAGTTGCAAAATGCTGCTGCCAAGAGGAAGAGCATTTTTAAAACTTCCCATGTACATGAGGCTTAAGAAAAAGAAAAGAAAGAAAAAAAGAAAGAAAGGGAATGCAGCCACCACATCTAAGAACTGATAAGTTGCATTAGAGTACATTTTTGTTTTGGGGGGGGTAACACCGCTTTTAGCTTTCAATAATACATCTCTATAGAGGTCTATACATCAGATGTAAAAGAGGGACAGCATAGAAAAGGAATTTAAATCTAAATGAGTGCCAGCCCCTTTAAGGGGGGGACAGATGAGAGCTCAGGAATATTTATTATCATGAAAAAGTATTCCTTTGTTATTAAGGAACACGGACAGATGACAGAGCACATGTAACGCAGACAGAAGAATGATGCAGAACACAGCGCACCAATCCACTGCCTGCACTGATCTGTACACAGAGAACACAATACAACAAACACACCTGCAGGGTGAAGATTATCCTGGCCCCTGTGCACTGCCTGCCATATCCATCCATACACACTGCAGTACACACACTGTCCCGGCTCAGCAGCCTCCACTTCCTCCTTCTCACTTCCTTTTCCCCCTTTAGTACACGCCTTCTGTCTGTAGACACTCATCATTCATCAGCAGCAAGCATGATCCTAGCCATGTTTCCTACGATCCTATGTATCTATGTCCAGGGTAGGAGTGGGGGGAAAGATACACCCTGGATGGTGAATTCCGTTACATTGTATCCGTTTTAGGTTTTGTTATTTGTTTTTTTTTTTTATTTATTTATTTTTTAGCTAGACAAAGTCATCTGCAGAAGCATTATGTTTTTCAGTCGCTAGGGGGCAGACGGTGCAATTGTATTGTTCCTTATTAGGTAGCAACACATCATGCAAAGAGGGGAAAAAAAAAAAAAAAAAAAAGAATTGATTTGGCATAGCAACATGGAGGAATGTATGTTTTCCCTCATCATGTGAACAATAGCTGAGCCAAACAACAGGCAGACATTTTCCTGTGTGATTTCTCTCATTTTCCTAACAATTTATCACACACACACATTATATAAATATATATATTAGGTACTATTTATTATTTTTTAATTGTGAAAGAGAGAAGTATAATAAACACAATCATTTCCTTGTATACCAAAGAAAAGATATATATATATATATATATATATATTTATATATCTATCTATCTTAGGTATACAAGGAAATGATTGGTATATATTATACTTCTCTCCACCTTTCACAATTGAAAAATAATAAATAGTACCGTTTTTTTCTTAGACAATTTTGCAATAAAAATGTAATCATAAAACAAATTACATGCACACAAATTTGGAAAAAAAAAAAAAATGCACATTTTTTAGCAGTGTTTAAGGACATATCATGGAACTGTACCAATAAATAAACCGAGAGGAGGAGGATGGGATGGGATTGGGGGGGGGGGGGGGGGGGGTATTTATTGAAAATGCATGGTACAAATTCTGGTCCAGCTCTGCATAGAAATCAATCAACCTCCAGGTTTTATTGCGATGGCTTAATTGAAGTTAAAGCTGATTGGCTGCCATGCACAGCGGCACCAGATTCTGAGTGCTCCAGTTTTAGTAATGCAAGCCATAGATGGGTCGAACATCGGCTGATTTTTCGATTAAAAAAAGAAAAATCGGTCGTTCGATTGGCTGACGTTACCACCGACGGTAACAAAAATCGGCCAACAAAATCATAGCGTTCACCCCATAACTTCTGTCCCTTGCAGGTCACGGCTCATGTGTGGATTTTTTATCGGTAAAACGATTGGTCGATTTGCCCATCATTGCCGGAAAATCGGCCGATCGTCAAAATCGGACGCAAATTTTCCAACATGACCAAAAAAAAAAAAAATGTGCAAAAAACCCGAAAAAAACGACTGATCAATTAACCCCCTAACAGCCAATTTTCGAACTGTCTATGGCCGGCATAAATATCCCCCACTGCATCTAGAAGTTCCCTAAGCCCGGGTTCACACTGATGCGGTGCGGAATTTGTAGCAGTTTCAGTGCAAATTCCACACCGCATCAGAATCGCACCTTGTTCATGCAAACCGCTGCGGGTATGTATGTTAAAAACACCCAAAAATCGGTTGGCAAAATGCAGTGAGATGTGCAGAATCAGATCGCATAGGTGTGAATACCCATGCGATACGATTCTAGTGCGGACTAAAAAAAAAGGGAGCTGCACCTTTTTGGTGCAGATGTGGTGTGATTTGGCTCAAAATCGCACCGCACAGAATTCACACAGGAATGTGGTGTGGTTGCTGTGCAAATTCTGTGCGGTGCGATTTTGAGCCAAATCACACCACATCTGCACCAAAAAAGGTGCAGGGCCCTTTTTTTGGTCCGCACTAGAATCGGATCAAATGCGATTTGCGCATCAGTGTGAACCCGGGCTTAATATTTGTTCCATACCCCTAATTCATTTACATTTACAGTTCCTTGCTGTGGCACCGTTGAGGTATGAGGTACAGAGAGCGCGTCCAAGTGAATAGACTGGGGGGGGGGGGGGGGAGACACAGAATGGCTTCCTAGTCTGGATCAATCACAGGTTCAGCTGACATGTTCTTTGTAGTGCAAAGATACCAGACGTGGCGGTTTCCAAGACCTGCCATGGCCGCCAGCACTGACCGTCATCTGGTCATGTGACCCTCTGAATGGGCGCCCAGAGTAGCGTACAATGATTTATTATAACATGGACAGAATGGGGGGGACGTGAAGTCTCATTTGGCGGTAAGCTGGCTTTAAAGTAACCCTCATGTGAGAAACGCACTAACCACACGG